AAGCGATATCATGGGGAAGATCATTCCAACTGACACAAGTTCTGGGTATGAATAAGTCATGAAAACATTTGGTGTGACATGATGGAACTCCAACTTTATTGCGGTGATCAATGCGAGATGATATGTATGATGGGCCTGTTAATAATTTCTGTTTTAGATAGCTGTTGTAATAAATTTTGTGAAAAAGACATAATAAAGGTACTGACCTGCGATGAGGAAGAGGAGGGAGGGACAAACTAATTTCATAGCGGTTACGCTGCTTGTTCGGTGATAGTTGGAGAGTATGAAACGGCAGGCACGGTTCTGCACAGTTTCCCAATCGGAAATGAGTGATTCAATGCCAGGGCTCCAGACAGATACAGAATACTCTAATTTTGAGCAAACCAGTGTTTTATAAAGTAATAGTTTTATTGAACTGGATGAATGAGAGAAGTTTCTGCGAATATAACCAAGCATGCGGTTGGCGTTATTTATGATATAATGAATATGAGTTTTCCAAGACAGGTTAGAAGAAATGTGAACACCTAGGTACTTATAAGAAAGCACAGTTTCAAGAAATACATTGTTAATGTGGTAAGTGGAAGCTGGGCTAGAATTTTGAGAAATGTGCATGTGCTTACACTTATTAATGTTTAGTTTCAAGTTCCAAGTGTTGCACCAGTCTATGACCTTGTTAATGTCGGATTGAAGGCAAGAGACATCGTTATTGTCGTTAATTTCGCGATAAATAACGCAATCATCTGCGAAAAGATTAATTGAAGAAGAAATATTAGTCGGTAAGTCATTTATATAGATTAGAAACAAAAGGGGCCCGAGAACGGACCCCTGAGGTACACCAGAACGGACAGGTAAAGGATATGAGTCAAAGTTGTTTGCTGTTACGAATTGTGAGCGGTTTGAAAGAAAACAGATCAACCATGCAAGTATATTAGGGTCAATGTTAAGATTACGTAGTTTAAGAAATAGAAGTTCATGCGAGACTTTGTCAAAAGCTTTCGAAAAATCCAAATATATACAGTCTGTTTGAGATCCGTGGTCGAGGATGCAATGAAGTTCATGCGTGAAACATATGAGTTGGGTTTCACATGAAAATGACTTACTGAATCCATGCTGGGCTATAGTGAAAAAAGAATTCGATTCTAAGAAAGCGACGAGATGAGAGTATATGACGTGCTCCATGATTTTACAAGGTATACTAGTGAGAGAAATAGAACGAAACTTGTCAGGGCAATGTGTATTTCCAGACTTGTGCAGAGTAATCACCCTCCCAACTTTCCAATTATTGGGAATACAACCTGTTTCAAGGGATTGTTCAAACAGTTTATTAAGAATTATGGAACAATACAACTTTATATTAATCAAGAATTTGGAATTAATGTTGTCAATGCCACAAGAAGAAGAAATTTTAAGATTTTCTATAATCTTCTGAATGCCGGATACGTCAAATATAACTGGGTCCATAGGAGGAACTTCAAAAACAGGGTAGTTAAAATTATCGCAAGAAACATCGTTAGAAAAAACCACCGCAAAAACATTCTTGAGAACAGAAGCACATTCGTGTGACGGGACTGCAACACCATCAGTAGATGTAAGTAACAATGTGGTGGTGTATTTCTTATTTATTACATTCCAAAATTCTTTAGGATTGTTAATCAGCATAGCAGCCAAAGTGTGGTTGTTGAACGTGTCCTTGGCGCTTTTTAATGCGGCTTTGTACTCAGCAGCCACAAAAAAAATAGAATTCCCATCGCACCTCGGAAATCATCACCTTTGCAGAGCGAAACAAACGTTTCTTTTGATTGGACAGTCTTGAGGTGACTCCCTCTCACACCTCAAGGATTTAAGCGGCACAAAAGTGTCAATAAGATGCTCAACAATGCACTTAAACAATTCCCAATTAGTGTCCACAGAACGCAGTGAAAACTTCTGCAAGTAATCATCGAGAAAAAAAAGCTAGCTCACGATTTATCGCATTGTAGTCAGCACGTTTATAGTCTCTAATGTGTTTTGTCTGATTGATGTGGTTACAGACACTGAGGCTAGGTAGATACACGAGTGAAGGGATAAGATGCGGTACGTTAGTTAGAACGTGATCAAAAGTGCTGGACGTGGCTGAAGTAGTTCGAGGAGGTTCAGAGACAAGTTGTGACAGGTTGAAGTCCAGACAATTCATCAAAAACTTGTTACACTCAGTCGAGAAAGGGCTAAGATAAGGTGATGCATTATTCCACACAATCGAGGGGTAGTTGAAATCAGCCAAGAGGATAGGAGTGTTGGGAAAACGCACAGTGATCATGTTAAGCGCGTCTTGCAGTTCATCAACGAAAGTGGGACACGAAGACGGGGTACGGTAAGATATGCCCAAAATCAACTTCTTAAAACGTTCGCAAAGCTCAACCCAGACTAGTTCCAGGTTACTTGGGGAATTAATGGGTGACGCAACAAAATTATCTGCAACAGCTATCAAAACACCACCGCCACATCTTTGGCTCTGTCCAAGCGGAATAGGTTGAACTTCCTTTTGCGATAAAACAATTTTATACTTCTAACCTTAAAAGAAAGCCATGTTTCAGTCAACAAAACAACATCAGCATCACAGGAATCGATTATAGAGTCAAGTTCATTGCGCTTTGGTAATAAACTTCTAATATTTGTAAAAAGAAAAGACACAGAATTTGCGGTAGTAGGCGCTGAACCACTGCCCCTCGCGCAATCCTACAGCGCAGGGTGCGGTAGAACAGCGACATGCGGGGTATCTGCTGACTCTGGACCAGCGGACGAGCAAAGCGATCAGTATGCTCAGTATGTGACAAGTCAGGGATACTAAAATCATCGATATCGTGACGCGATGTCTGTCCCCAAAGATTATTTTCCATAAAAACATGATCATGAGCTGCGTTGTAGCTATAGCACTGACTGTTAATGTACAGTTTGTTGTACCTCAGTTTGTGATGCGAGCCCTGATTCTTTGCATATTGAAGCAGCTTTTTCCTGGCTTGGCGCGTTTCTAAAGAAAAATCTTCCCTTACGGCGATACCTTTATCCCTGAGCTTCACTGACTGGTATAGAATCAGCAGCTTCGTTTTAAAGGAATGAAATTTCACTATTACCGGACGGCATTTTCCCTCCGAGAATGCACGGATTCTATGAGCACGTTCTAGCGCGTCCTTTGTAAGCACTGGAGTAAAGCAGCTAAAAATCATGTTTAACAGCTTTTATTCTGTGGCCTCCCAAGTTTCCGATAAACTGTCATGTACACCGAAGAACAACCAATTGTCTCTTCTTTGCCTGTCCTCCAGCTGTGATTGACCAAGTCGCAATTTGTCATTTTCACAAGCTAGGTTATCCGCGAGTTCTCGTAAGGCCAGCAGGTTTTGTTAAGGCCAGCAGTGGTGTCAGTGGTAGGCATCCTAGTTTCAACAGCGGACAGCCTTATATCAATATTGGCTATGTTGCTTTTCATAGTTTCCTGAGCTTCTTTTAATTCAGCAATAGACGTAATTAAACGTGACTGTTCCGTTTCCATCCTAGCTGTGCGCGAGTTAACGCTCTGTAGTAGGGTTAACACATCATTCAGTTTCTTCTGTATTGCCTCTTCGCTAGCATTGTCTTTAGACCGCTTAACAACGCCAGAAGCACCAGTAGAAGTACCAGGGTTTAACTCTACGTTTCCTGATTGCAAAGCAGCTGAGCACAAACATCAAATGATTTGCACAAGTAAAACAAGTAGCACTCTTGGGTGTGGGAACAGCAAAAGACAGGCATTGCTAGATTTCTTAGCAAACAATGAAGTGTTATTGCTGACCTGCATGAACAAACGCATGTTGTAAAGCAAACGTCGAACGATGCTGTTCGCACGCCCACTGGAAGGCGCGGGCCGTTGGCGTCCGTTTATATCCAGAGGAAATGGTGATGTCATAGGCGATGAGCTGAACTTGTGCAATGGAGTCATGGTCCAGGAGGGTTGCCAAGGCAAGTCATGTCCAGTGTAGTCTTCATGACAGTGGCGGAATCCGTCCGTCGGCTCCCTTTGTTTGGGGCTCATTCTGACTTCGCCATCAGCACCTTGCGTCCGTGGGAAATGATTACGTTTTGTCGCCCCTTTTCCGAGCACTAGGCCGAAGAGCGGTGTGGTGTCCTAGTGCGTGGCCAGGGTACGCCAACCCGTATCTCTTCGAAGCCAACGCGAATGCCTTTGCCCTCGCTTGAGCAACAGGGGCCCTTTGTCCCGGTGTCCCCGTGAATCACCTTTGCCCATGGAGACGTGCTCGCGGCACCCTGTGTAGTACTTCTCGCCCGGGGCGTGGATAAGCTCATTTGCTTTCTTGCTGCCCCCGTTGCAACGGATTCTGTACTCCGTTTTTGGTGTTGCTGCAGACAACAAAGTGTTGCGACCTTGAGCACTACCGTGTTCTCGCCACGGTTAACGCGTGACCTGTGGCTCGCTAAGACCGGACCCATGCTAGTGGCCATACTCCTTCAGTATACGTGTATACTACACATCGCTGCTCAATAATGTGGAAAGCCATGGAATTTACCGAGATTGTGAGCACGGGAAGCATGTGTGTAATAGTGCTATCTGTTGTTCTCACTGCAAAAGAAGTGGAGCACAGCTGCTTGAATGTGTGGCAAAGCTAGTTTTGTATGGGTAAATGATCTGTTTGTTCATTCTCTTTTAATCATTTTCCCCCCCTCATGTCATTACCTTCCTGTATTTATGCTACTGAGTAGGTCAATAGTTGCTAGTGTGCTCCTGTGTGCGGCACTTCATTGTGTCCTGTCAGTGCAGTGCATTCCACCATACAACATGCTGTACCAACATGTGCAGTATATATTTAGTTGGTGTCTTGGTTGAGCCTTTACTCGTCTGGTGGTTTTGGGATGTTGAAACTCCACATCTCAATCAAATCAAGTCTTTACAGTGGCACAGTGCCCATAACTTGTAGCTTTGGCATATACAATTTCTCTTGTATTTACTACTGTGCTTTTTCACCTGACAGAGAGGACCATTTTGCTGTCTACTCACCACATGGATGAGGCAGATGTATTGGGGGACCGTATTGCTGTCATTTCTCATGGACAGTTGCGATGCTGCGGCACATCTTTGTTTCTTAAGAACAACCTCGGAAAGGGATACCATCTTACTTTGGTGAAGCAGCCACCTCGGCATATTTCTGGGGACCCCGCTGCAGGTAAAGCCAATTGTACAACCTTGTATTGTTCCTAGTATAGGTGTGAAAAGGCTTAGCCCCGCCCAAAGGCCCAGGTCTTACCTGGCCCACATGCTCGAGCCAAATTCATCGGACCAGCCAAGCTGGTGTTAAAGCTCAACTTGGGCCTATATTGTAACAATATACTTCGCACAAAAGATCACCCATAGGCCCAGAGTTGCTGTGGTGCATTTTGAAAGTATTGGCCCTTGTAGCAGTGAATATGTTACACAGGGCGTTGGAACGAAATGTTAGTGTTGGTTTAAGTTTCATTCCATTGCAAAAAGTTGTGTTCCGTTTCTGTTCCAGAATGTAACCGTTTATGATGGTTTTTATTTGTATGCAAAAATTTGACAAAGTAACGATCAAAACATTGGATTAGTGGTGATAGTGATTTGTGCCCTCGTTAAAGTGAAACTCTGGTGCATTTTTGACCATACTGAAATAATTCTGCTTTCACATAGTATTGACAATCCTGCAAAAGCTAGGGTGGTTGATTCTGCCTAGGCACTCGTTAATAATTTTGATTAAGTAGTAAACGATGAGTCGAAACCGAAACAGGAGCTGCTCCGTCATCCATGGTTGGTATGAGATGACGTCACGAGAATCGGTCACCGATGACATCACGAAATCCGCTACACCCCACCATGGGTAGCAAGGGCGTAAACATAGCTCACGCGCCTCTTCTGCGCGCGTGAAAAGCAAGTTGGCGATGTCATCCAACGTGGAATCAAGCTGTTCCAGCTCATTTGAACTTACCAGTGACAAGTTCAGCGATGATTGCAGCTGCTTTCTGGGCGTGGAAGCATTGCCTCTTGATTTCGACCCGCCGGCCCGTGATGCATCTGACATGCCCCGAATTGATTTCCTCGTTGCTCAATATTGTAAGACTCGACGGCAACGATGACTAACACGCTGTATGCAGCTGACAAAACTGAACTCTGCTCGCCTTCTCGTCTCCTCGTATAAGAAAGCGCACGCTGCATCTGTCTGCTAGAAGAGGCGGGTTTTTTGAAAAAAAACTAGGCTCTTACGTCATATACACAGGGTGGCCCGCATTTACAAGTGTGATTCCAGAATCGTCTACCAATTTTTAAATTTGTTTTCTTAAAAACTAAATTACTTACGAATGTATAATTTGGCACATATCACCACAGTACCGACAAGAACACATGCTCAAAGTTTTATTGTATGGGAATTGAGGCCAGCCCGCTGCCTTTGCACGGGCTTTGCCACCTTTTTCTGCCGTTCTCATGTCCCAATACATCACTCCCCTTCTCCGCTGTCTGCCGCACTGGGGAAGCGAAGAGTGACGTTTAACCCCTTTCACCCGATAGCGGATCTTGAGTGTGTGCGCCACGCGCGAAGTCTCCCGAGAGTTTTTGCAGGCATGCGTCAGGAGTGAGTCAGAGATTCTCCGGAACAGCTTACGGTGAGCACGCATTCCCTTTTCCGTCCGTCGACTCCCGTTGCTCGGGGCTCGTTGGACTTCGCTGATGGCGCCTCGCGCCCGAGGCTAATGCTCCCCTTTTGTTGCCCCTTTGCGTACGCTCGACCGAAGGGCGGTACGTGTCCTAGTGCATGGCCAAGCTACGCCGACCCATCTCCCTCCGAAGCCAACGTGAGTGCCTTTGCCCTCGCTCGAGCAACCGGGCCTTGGTCCCGGTGTCTCCGTGAATCACTTTTACCACGGAGACGTGCTCCTGGCACCCTGTGTAGTACTTTGCGCTCGTGGCGTGGATAAGCCTATTTGCTTTCCCGCGGTGCCTTTGCAACGGGCTGTACTGCGTTTTGGTGTTGCCACAGACAATAAAGTGTTGCAACCTTGAGCAGCATCGTGTTCTCGCCACGGCGACTGTTAACGCGTGCCCTGCGGCTTGCTAAGACTGGACCCACGCTAGTGGCTGTACTCCTTCGGGATACGTGTCACGACAATTGAAATCGGTGAATATCGAAAAAATGCTGGAGTTATTAAGGAACTGGGACACATTCCTCATATTTTCTTCACAAAAGTGGATGTAACTACCACAAATTTCTGTCAACTAGCGCAAACCATTAACCTTTGGATTCACAGTATTCGTTTTCGTTAAGTCAATCACAAATTTTTCAGCAGGCCCAGTGCTGTGAAGGGGGGGAGTGTGACCTCGGAAGCAGCATGTCATTGACTGTGTTCTGATGCGCGAGACAGCTGTTTTGATAAAATGAACTTCAGCACCGAGAACGCCCTGTCAACGCTGGCCTGCTTGACAGGCACATGAAAGTCCACTTGCATTAATACAGTGCAGTTCACTTATAACGTTGTCTAAGTGCCAACGAAATTTTATCATTATAACCAATAATAATTATAAGCTGGCTGAGAAAAGAAAGACAAAAAAGAGATCAAAACATTTTATTTGCATACGGGGTATTGCAGCTATGTACTTGTTTGAGAAAAGCCATAGTATGTCAGCTTTGATTTTTTACACGAAGCTTGCACACATCTTTCTTATTAAGAGCATCAAGGTGTTCCACGTAGCTGAGCGGGAGGTCCTTCGCAAACAGGTCCCAGAGAGACTGTATCATTTATTAGGCCTTAGGCAATGAGAGTACCTGGGTAGGCTGCTCAGCCACGTCGTCGGAATTGCCGCTTTTACTGCTCTCCGCAACATGTATACACACACCGATCGCCTCATTGCTGATGCACTAAAATGGTGCCACAACATTGTCTACATGAAGAAAGTGGTCCAGACATGACACATCTTCGTTAAGCACCGACCACAACTCCAGCATCTTTTCGTCGACGGGCTCTTCGCTGGCCTCTTTTGGAATTGCTTCGGAAGCTTAAAAGAAAAGCTCCACTTCCTCTAGCTTTCTCATAGGAGGTGCAGTCGACTGATTTTCTAAGTGTGTATGCAGGTTGCGGGATGCATAACGACACGTGCCATCGGCACGGAGAGTGATTTTTGGTGAGCCCTGACACTGGATTCGATGGCTATATCTGATATTACGACACTGGAGCATCGTTATAAGCAGTTTATTTTATCACAGAAAGCATGCAAGAGTGGACAGTTCCATTGTTGTTCATCATTATATGTGATATATTGCTATAAATCATTTCAGTATAACTGGACTTGACTTTATAGACGTCTATCGTTACCACTTTTTTCGTTCTTCGCTCAATTTCAACATATCTTGGCTTTGGGATTTCTGCCTGATGTGTGCACTAATACTGTACCCTGAGATATGCATCGTTGATTATGTTATCAGACTGGTTGTTTTGGATTGCTAAGTTTCTCTATAAACAAAAAAAAACAGTAAAAAATTTTCCGTTTCACTCCAGAACCAACTAGTAATTAAAGTTTTGGTTTCATTTTCAATTCTGTCGAAATTTTTTTTTGGTATTTGGTTTGTGTTTTCATTCCATTCAGATACGTTGGTGTTACATATCGAAAGTGGAACCCACGAAGCAACTATCATGCTGGCAGCTGAAGAAGCAATTACCGCGTTCAGTCCTGCGTTTTCTTTCGGAGCATTCGTGCAATTTTCACTATTTTCGTCATGAGTTAGTACTAGGAGGAGGAGGAAGGGAAGAAATGAAAGGCAGGAAGGTCAACTAGACGTGCGTCCTGTTTGCTACCCTGCACTGGGGGAAGGATTGAGGAGATCATATGGGTGCATGTGCGCCAGAGGTCAAAGAGCACCATATGGGTGCATGTGCGCCTGTCCATTGCACGCTTATAAGTGGTCGCTTGGTCCGGTCGGCTTTAAGAAACCTAGCAATGCCCGCATCGCTTTTTTGGCCTGTGACAGATAGAACCATGAACTCAGGATCTTCTCTTTGAAAGAAGGTCTATTATCTAGTTTAATGTTTTGCGTAGTGCATTGCATTCATTCGCATAAGGATCACAGGAACACAGTAGATCTGACTGATGCGATAGTAATGAGCTTATACTAATGCTTGATATCCACTGCGAAGTGCTTTTTTCTTATTGTTAGCATTAAATATACTTATATCAGTTCTTTTAACGCTGTCCAAAAGTGTCGAAATGACTTTTTTTATGTTGTTCTAGGCATTATTTTACACGTTGTGTGTAACTAAGAGTATGCAAACTTGTATTACAGAGTGCTGCGAGAAGGCTGTTACGCTGTTCATTCGCCATCATGTTGAAACAGCTGCGCTTGTGTCTGAAACACAGCATGAGTTGCATTATATTTTGCCATTGTTCGAATTGCGGAAGGGAAGTTTCGAAAAGCTCTTCTCCGCGCTGGAGTCCAGCTTGGCTGACCTGGGCGTGTCCAGCTATGGCATCAAGAACACAACTCTTGAAGAAGTCTTTCTCAAAGTGGCTGAGGAGGCTAGCCGGTCTGACTCTGAAAGTGAGTACACTTGATACCTGTGTCCTTCTTGTTCTAAGAATATTAACCCAATGGTGAGCCTTTTTTATGTGCTTTATTCTTTTGTTGACTCATAATGTTCTTCCAGCCGCACCTTATAAAGCTATGTATATAATCTGCCCCGATGCAGCTAGCACAGTACGTACAGCGGCTGCCGTATCCGTGTAAAGCACATGAGCAGCCAGTTTTTGCTCTGCAGAGCAAACCTTAAGGCAGTTGCAGGCTCCGGCATGATCAGCATGACTATTAGGCCATGCATGCTCCTGACACACCACATCAGAGCCCAAAACTGCCTCAAGGTTTCGCTCTACAGAGCAATAACTAGCTGCTCGCGCGCTCTACACAGACAGGGGATTTGCTGTACATTTAACATTGATGAATTAAGGACTTTTCAGAATGAAGGTCTATTCACCAGCCATTTAATACTTTGAAATGAGCAACATGTATTCAAGATCTTGGCATGCATATGCGCTGTCAACTTAGCTTTTACTGGCATTGTAATGATGTAATGTCCACCTTATCTATATGTGGTTTTGCTATGCAAGTCATGCAAGGCTTTCATTTATCCTTACTACCTTATAAGATGATTACATGCCATATAAAAAAAATGTAGCTTGGTTCTATCATATGAAAGAAACTTAGCAAAGAATTAGAAGTACAAGAAATAAAATCTTCCAGTGTTTCATTCAGGTGTAATAGTATTATACATTCTTTGTAGAAATCATTTCTATGAGTTATTCTTGCTCCTAAAGAGGCCCTGCTACACATTTCCTACTAAACATCAAATGCCTTCATTAAGGGAGTTTATTGCCCCACAAATTGAGCACCGGGAAAGTGTTCAGAATCCATCAAGCACAAGCGAAGTTAAAGATTTGTTGCTTAGAAGGGCCCTGAAACACTTTCTCAAGTAACCATAGAATGAGTTCACTAGAAGAGCTTATTGCCTCACAAATTCAACCCTCCAAAAATTTTAATAATCTGTCCAGTTCGAGTGAAGCTACAAAGATTTGTTGCATGCTGAAATTGCATTCTTTCTTCTCTTGTCATGACGAAAGCGCTGGAAGCTAAGCAGGGAAGGATGGCAGAGGCAAAGAAAATATGTCACAGGCGCCTCGTGACCTTGAGCACTTTTTCTTTTTTTTTTCTTTGCATGCGCTGCTTTTTCAGTGGGATCGCGTACGTACGAGTGGATAAGTCGTGGCCTCCCGGGGCGATCTCTGTAACGACCGAGCACACCATGTTCAAGTCAGCCAGTGGCGGATAAATGGGCTTTTTACGAGTGATTTTTAAGCGTCTTCTGTCATTCGTTGAAAGAAGAAAAAGTAATTTTTAGCTGATTTTGATAATTTATAGTGAATTCCAGGCCGTGTGCTGCACTATAATACTTGGCTTGCGTGTTGTCGGGAGCCTCTACTGCCAATTGGCAACGTTTTCTGATCATGCTCAAAAAGTGTTATAGCGCCCCTTTAATATGTAATGATGAGCTGGTTGGTGAACCATGATCTCTTGATGAAGCAGTGCACAGAAGGATACAAAAGCACACACACATTAAGGATGCAAACACAAGTGCTTGTGTACAAGCGCAAGCAAAAGCACTGTACAGCGTGAAGTCGAGTTTGCTGACCAAGCTGGTTTGTGAGTTCCGGTTAGAGGATAACACCGAGTCGTATAAGTATTAGATGGAAAATGGAAATTTTTTCGTTAGATCGGCAACTTTATGAAATAGTTTCATTAGATCAAGTTTTTAACTGTAGTTGATTTACCTTTCTTACATGATTACTCCCCTTTTTCTTGCCTCACTTTCTGAATTCATGTACTTATATACGTATTTGATGCACACATTTGACTTATCGGTTTCTCTTTTAAAACTTCGGCGTGGCAGAATCTTTGTTGTTTGGTATGCCACTTATGTATGTCCTTGTAAACTTTCGACCTACAGGTTACGGGATCGAATCCCGGCTGCGGCGGCTGCATTTTCGGTGGAGGCGAAAATGCTGTAGACTCATGTGCTCAGATTTCGGCGCACGTTAAAGAACCCCAGGTGGTCGAAATTTCCGGAGCCCTCCACTACGGCGTCTCTCATAATTATATGGTGATTTCGGGATGTTAAACCCCACAAGTCAATCAATCAATCCTTGTAAACTTTCTGATGTGTGCTACTATTTACACAAACTGATCATTTATACACCCAAAAATGTTGCCAAGGCTTCTGAAGAATGTCCTATTAAGTGTGTCTTTATTGCAAAGAAAGTTAGGGGTCTTTTTGTCCTCCATCACAAATTTCATTGTACATTGTGTTGATTTGCTTGCTTCAGATTACGATGAGTCCCCGATGAAGCCAAAGGTTATTTCTTCAAATCATGGTGAAGGCAGCACATGTGCAGAGGAGAAACAGCCGCTGACAGAATTCGGGTATAGTCTTGCTGAATTGTCAGGGTCCAGTGGTGGTGATGTTGATGAGGCCAGTCAGTGGAATGGATATACAAACTCGGGTAAGTTTGCGGAGTGATTGATGGGGTGGTGCGGGTACCATTCACATGATTCATATGATGTCTACCCTTGGATACCCTTGGATGTAGGGATAGCTTAACAATAAAAAAAATATTCATATTTATTTGGGTGTGAATATTTGAGAAGAACTCGTATGCTCACCTTGAGACCAATGTAGTTGGTATTATATGACTGATAAACACTCAGTGGACATGAAAAACAGTAACAATAAAATTGATATGGATAAGAACCAACTTGCAACTTAGTTTTATTTTGAAACAGGCCATTTGTATGCATGACAAAAAAATATTTTTTATGAAGTGCTCATTGGTTCAAGCCATTAAAAATGCTCAAGCTGTGGAAGGGCGTGTAAACAAAATAACAGAAGTGCAACTAAAACATCATGCCCATCACTGAAGTTCTAGATGCAATGTGCTGATGCTGTGATGGACATGCAAATTTATTGAGAAGCTAGCCCTTTTCTGTGTGAGTCATGTTGCTGCTGTTTTTGTTTGTAGCTCGATGCTTATTAGTAAACTACAATGAATTTTCTTCTAACCTTTTTTTTCTCTCTCTACATTATTTAATGCATTCTCCTAATGCTATTCACAGCTGTAGGTCTAGACAAGTGAGGAACTTTCAAATTAGCAATGTATGTTTTCATTTAGATGGTTGATTGTGACAATAACAGTAATTAAACAAGTAGACAGTGCATTACCATACGTAGGTGGAGTATTTTGTTTGCTGAAAGAGACCGTGGTGATACCGTACAACAACTCAGATTGTTTGAAAGAGGAGTGAACAAGCTACCTTAGTGAAATAAATTTATTTGCTATAAAATATAAAATTATTGCCTCTGAGACATTTTTATTGAATGATTGGAAGTTGATTAGCACAAGTTATTTGTCTAAAGTGTTAGCTCTGGGTGACTGGAACTGATATATCAGCAGTATGTTTCAGAATAGTTCTCACTTTTAATAGTCTGTTACATGAGAAGTCAGTAAAATTCAGTAAGTATTGTTATTAAGTTATGTAAATGTTTGAAAATTTTAATAAGTAGAATGTTATCCTATCTCACTTGGTTTTTAATCAAGTAGTCATCAATATATGGAAATTTTGATATATTTATAAATAATAGTTTTCTAATACATTATGTTATTGATTTTATACATTTGAACATAAAGTTGAAGCACAAGAGTGATGACTTTTATATCATTTACAGTGGACAGTACACACATACACACACACGTATATAATATGTTATTCGAAGGTCACAGGTTCGGTTCCTGCCCATGGCAAGTTATCTTTTAACCCACTTTTTTCTTTCTTCACATTTACTGGACGATCCGGTCTAATAACTTTCTTTATGCTTTCCTTGGAAGTATTGCCTGTTATATCTCATTGTGTCGAACACAGAAAAACGAGCCCTTAAGTATACACTTCCTTAATATATATATATATATATATATATATATATATATATATATATATATATATATATAGAATCAACATGGCGTATGAGCCAGGCCACGTCACCCATTCATCATAGCGTCACACGAGTCGACAGAATACGAACCTGCATTCCGGAAGGCTTGCCACTATAGCCATCTCCTGAGCAGCATCAGCAAAGCAAGCATAGCCAAGCGCGCAACCTCATGTGACAACAAAATAGACTGCAACGAAGGCATCGACGAACGCGAAATTCAACGGAAGCACACTCACCAATTGAAGAACAACGGAAAATAAGATCTCTAACCCAAACAGTATTACAACACGTCAAATTTTCTCGCACAGAGGAAAGTCGCCGGAGACGCTCCCTGCGCCTGCAGTTACACAGACCGCAACACCACGGGAAAACACCAAGAAAGATGCGGAAGCACTTCTTGCGTACCACCAGCCTGCAGGCATCACGCCGTCACAATTTGTCAAGAAGCACGCATTTTAGAAGCAAAGCGTCTGTCGCAGCCATGACTCAGAATCCAACGCATCAGACATCCGACCTTCCAACGCTACAAGGACACCCAACCTTGTTCGTTCCTCAATACTAACCAGGTTGTGCCATCATCATTTTTAACGCTGAAGGCATGGTTATGCTCTCCAGAACGCAACAGCCAACCTCGCCCACCTGAGGTCTCCTAGATATCACCCGACTGCCTTTCCTGTGAACATATTGTGCAAGTGCATGGAACCGCCGTGTGGCATGGAACTACTGCATTTTCTGGCATTATTTTTTTATTCTAAGACTCCATTTGTTCATGCTTTCTAGATTGTAGCTCGCGCATTCTTTCGGGGGGGAGGGGGAATCATGTGGCGTGAGAAGGTAGCGACGGTTGGTAGAAGCAGATGAAAAAGAAGTGCAGAATAGAATCAACATGGGGTATGAGCCAGGCCACGTCACCCATTCATCATAGCGTCACATATATATGTATGTGTGTCCACGGCTGGTTATTTTTTCATCCACTTTTCTTTCTTCTTATTTACATTCCATTGGTTCTAATAACTTGCCCTGTACATTCCTTGGCATTAGTGTCTGTTAGATCTCATTAATATATATATATATATATATATATAATATATATATTGCAGCGCGGACTAAAAGAGCGAGAAAGAAGAGGAAGTAGGACCATCTCGAGCAATGTTGATTCGGCAGGGACGGTTGAGCGCTGGCATTTACAGTGTAAATAAACCCATCACATCCGTAACAGCTTTGGTAAAGCGGTGCTGGGTAATTTGCCGTCCTGGATCCCACAGCAGAAGTTCTTCGAAGAAGCAGACGCTTAGCTGGCCTATCCCCGGAAAACATCAGCATGAACGACGACACAGCCATCCCGTTGACGTACTGCGCTGCTGCATCCGCCAGTGCCACCGACATGGCACTAGGTGGCCGTCGACTTCGACAACCAGACTACTGGGCGCCTGAACCATGGATATTCTCGGGTAAAACTGACGAAGACGTGGATGCTTGGCTAAAACACTACGACAGAGTGAGCCGCTACTACGACTGGAACGCGCCGGCGAAGCTCGTGAACGTAGTATTCTTCCTTGCCGGGACTGCTTCGCTTTGGTAGGGTGGCTAGAATATGAGGTGTGAAAAGCGGCCGCAGAAACCGGTCCCCAAGGCGCGCCGATGCCGCTTGGGGCGCTGCACGCACCGGCGCGGGTAGCCTTTCGCAGGCGATGTACGAATGAGCGCGCGCTGCTCGCCGCAGCGCGCTGCTCGCCGCAGAAAAACGAAGCAGTTTTAGCTGCCTATAGGCAGCTAAAACTCATCTGAGTTAATGTATACATTAACTCAGATGAGTCACGCATTAAGAGCGCCAAAATTTACCTATACCGCTAAGCGTGTGACTTGAGAATTGTTCCCAGCAGCATAAATTTAGCAGACACTTTTTCACAAAAACACAACTTTATTTCCACGCATGCCATTCATGCACTGCCACTAGAGTACGCATGGCTTTACTCTCCGCCCTTTCTTTTCGTCTTCCTTTTGGTTCATCCCTTTCAAAAAAAAGTGGACACGAGTGAGGCAATAAAATCGCACCACACTTTTCGTCAAAAAAGCAGCATGCTTTGCGCAACCAATTTGTTGCGTCTCGCCTATCCCCTTCATCATCTCAACGGCCGATTTGGCATGAAGACGTGATGTGCTCAAGAAGCGAGTGATTTTGTTCTCAAGGGATAATATCAGGTTATAGAAGGAATTCGACGGATACAAAAGTCCTCCGAGATCCCACAGCTTGCTTGCCTGGGCTGGGAGATTTCCTGGCACATTTTCTTTAGAAGCAAGGCAGGCGTTCTTGCAATCATCACAATTACTACGAAGTACACGCTTTCTTGCGACATAACCTGCGACATAATACACAAGGCGGGCGTCACTTCGCTCAACAGTGTATGACGCATGATCTACAGACACTTCTAGCACGTCAGATGAAAGTCTTTCGTTGTCTTCGTTGTGATCTTCCACCTCGTGCAGCATTTCTTCCAGAGAGAGAAGAGATTCCACCACTCCGTCAGCTACATTGCCACCCTTCGGACTCTTTGCCAGGCTATAGAAGCTGAGGCATCTATAAATAAACAATGCATATTTTACTCACAACAGCAGTCAAACATAATCAGATGCGTAACAAGTTTATACGACATGCAACATAAGGCGTAAAATTTGATAATAAAATACCTCGTGATAACAACAAACTGTGCAGGGGTTGGGTGATCATTGCCACCACCTGCCTGCCGCACGATTCCGAAACAGCGCTCAAGGCAGTCTTGGCTTAGGCGAGCCGTCATGAGATACTTGAAATGTACTTCCTCACACAGGTACTCCAGGAGGTGCTTCGTACTTTTCAACGTCACACGCAAACCCACTGCGGTACTTTTGCTTAGAAAGCCAAGTCCTCTTGCGTGAGCTTCCCACAAATCGAGGAACTTTAGTGCCTGGTCAAGCACAGCTTCCTTTCGGCTGTGAAGCCTGAAATAATGTTTATGTATGAAGCGTAGAAACTTTGTCTGGACTAATTATCGACAGGGTAAATATTTCACTCTTACCGTAAAGCTTCTGCTGGAAACCTGGATGTCATCACCTCGATTAGTTCCGCCATGAGACCAATAACGAGTCTTGTTGGCTCAACATTTGTGTATTGCTCCTCGATCTGATCTTTGTAAAAATCTAAGCACCGAGTCACTTGGGCACTGAAAACATGAAATGTTAAGTCCACACGCATTTTCTCGAATCCATTTGGAAAGATATGTGATCGAGTCAGCTTTGGTGCCACTTTCAAGGTGATGGCACTGCTGTCAAGTTTCCACATGGTTGACACATGATCCCAGTGGGCCTGTAAAATTTCCACATTGCATCAGGAACTGTTAAGGATTCAAATTAGCATTGAGAAGTACGCATTATGCATAAAAATTCCACAGAAATATTAGAGCCAACTTGCCCTTCCGTTGTGGGTGTTGAAGCCCTGCTTCATCATTGTGTTTCTCACGCACTTCATGAGGTGAGGGA